GAAAATGTCTTCATTCTCACACCCAGTTCAGAGAAACCATGTTCTCTTTATCCAACACAATTTTTGTCTACTCCTTGCACAAGGAGATGCCTTGAGAATAGATTTTCTATCTCATATGCCCAAGTGTTTTTCTAGGACATGCATCTAAATCCTGTCCATGTAAAACTTGGATTTATAGCTACAAGATTGTGAAGAATGGCATTTCTATCATCACTCTTTCTGTAAAGAATGTAGGTTGCAATTTGTAATAGGAAGTACTATTGCTGTAAAGTTAGATTACCCCTAGCCGAGATCCTTTGGGGAAAGGATAACTTTGGAAGAGGAGAAAAGATTGACTCGTCCAACTGGAAAAATGTATGTGGAAGCTCCTGCTGCTGGTTGCAGACACAGTGATGCACAGGCACGCTCACCTTTACTTTCCACAGTGGGACCAAGAGCACAGGATGGCAGGAGGATGGAGGTGTTTGGTGCTTGGGTTGGTAGGTGAGGAATGTTTGGCTTAGGTGCTCAGACCTGGTGGTTAGAGTCAGATCAGTAACTTGGAATCTAAGTAGGTCAAGGGGCGGTGTATTAATCCATTTCTGTTGCTTATAACAAAACACATGGAACTGGGTAATGTGTAAGAAAATAAAATTTATTGCTTATGGTTTTGGAGGCTGGAAAGTCCAAAGTCCAGGGATCACATTTGGTGAAGGCCTTGGTGGTGGTAATAGCGACCCAGGGGTCTCACATGGCAGAAAAGGGCAGAGCAGAGAGTCTAACCTCTCGTGTGTTCTCCTTTTAAAGCCCTTAGGACCATGCCCCTGACCACCATTATTAATCCATTCACTACAGCATGGTCCTATGATCTAATCATGCCTTCAAGGCCCCATCTTTCAATTACCATAAGAGGATTTCCTTCCCTCTCAGTTACAGTGGGAATTAAGCTTTTAATATGTGAACTTTGGAGACACAATTCAGTCAATCCACAGGAGGCAGGCAGACCTTCAACCTGAGTCCTACACAGTGGGGTCAGCTGACCGCACCTGCTGACCACCTCAGAGGGTTTCCAGCCATGGGTTGGTGAATGAACCAGAAAGAAGATCACCATGACCCAGAATTAGCCCTAATGACTGAGGATCCTAAGCCTTGTGTCCAGGCTGGAATCACATGCTACAGCTTCTGGTCTGTTCCGTGGCAACCTCTCCCCATCTCAGATGGTGGAAAACACAGGCACTTCTGTCCAGAGAGACTGGGCAGGAAGCTGCTCTCATCAGCAGGCAGTGGCCATCCTGTGTTGGAAGGGTGGACGCCCAGGCTGTGTAGGACCCAGAGCCATGACAAGAGCTGGCCAGAGTCCAGCTGGGTCTCCACCAGACTTTCTTGGAGGACTCGAGTCTTGGGGTTCTGTAGTGACTTTTCCTCTGTCACATGGTGAGGCTGACCCATGTGGCTGTGTCTTCCTTTGCTGGCTGCAGAGTTCACATGGGTGCTGGGTTTTTGTGTTTGTTCTGTTTTGTTTTTCAATTTAGCAACATTCCCTATGCGGTGTGAGGGCTGTGCAGACGCAGGTACAATTTCAGGAGATGTCTTAAGGGAGGGGAAGTGCCAGCTCCATCCACATTAGTATCAAGGATGGCTTCCCAAAGAGGAAGCATTTGAGCTGAATCTACCGCAAGTAGTTTAGCAAATGTGAGCCTTCCCAGAGGGCAGGACAGTATCAATGAGGCAAACAAATGCAAAGAGCATGGTGTAGGTTGGTATGACTGAGCTTCACAGACAAGGACTGGTATTGTTTTTGTCTCTCAGGCTAGGGCAGGCCTGGTTTGTTGATTGGGGCCCAATCAATGATCAGGGCCTGACCCCAGGGAGTGTCAAGTGGGCCCAGCAGGTGGTCCAAGTAGAACTTCTGAGACCATGAGACAAGGAGGCCTTATGGGGAGGTGGGAACTCCCAGGCCTTGGGACCAGCCCACACAGCAGGAGAGGGAAGCATAAACATAGTGAAGGCATAGTTCTGTTTTGTGATGTGGGTCCTGGGCAGGGGTCATGGGAACCCCTTTATCAGAGGATAAGTTCTGACTTCCAAGATCCAGGGGCCTGTGACCAGCCCGTGGGCTTTTGCTCAGGTAGGTGGGACTAGCAGGGCACAGTGCTGGTGGCTTGGTCCATTCTATGCTGCTGTGTAGAATATCTGAAACTGGGTAATTTATACAGAACAGAAAGTTCCTGGCTCACAGCTGAGGAGGCTGGGAAGTGCAAAGTCAAGGTGCTGCTGTCTGGCAAGGGCCTTCTTGCTGCCTCTTCCCATGGTGGAAGGCAAGAGGGTGACAGCAAGAGGGACCTGAACTCGCCCTTTTGTAATGGCACCAATCCCACCTGTGACAGTGGAGCCCTCGTGGTCTAATCACCTCTTAGAGGTCACACCTCTTAATACCATTACGTGACAATTACATTTCAATGTGGGTTTGGAGGAACAAGCACTCAAACCATAGCAGCTGGTGTCTGAGGGACCTGGCACAGCTTTGCCACCTGCTCTCACCAGCCTTGCATTGCCTGGGAATTGGGGCAGGCCTGGAGCTGGGGTGTGGGAGTAGGTAGGAGCCCAGCATGGGCACCACCAAAGGCAAACATAGGTGGCAGGTGGTGAGGCTCAAGAGGGACACACTCATGGTGACCCTGATCTAGGCATCAACTCCAATTTTTGAGAAGTGAACAAAGCTCCAAGTAGTTGAATCAGCATTTCTAAATATTTAATGACAGTAAGACTCACAGTTACATTTTTGATGAAGTTGTAAAACCTTTAAGAAAGTAGGACAGCGGCTTGTGTGCACGCGTGTTAGCAGCGTTCTGCAGCACAGACGCAAGACGTCAGCTCCAGCAGCAGCAAGAGGTGCCTTGTTTACAGGTCGGTGATCTTGGCCCCCCATCCATCGCAGGAGGGCCAGGTACTGGAGCCTTTCTGGCACTGCACCGCACTCTTGCTCTGTGGTCCTGCTGTTTTCCTGCAGCCTTCCCTGGGGACTGACATAGGGCTCGTGTTTACCTTCTTTCTGATTCCCAAATTGAAATGGTGCTTTTCCTCCCTCCCTGGAGTCCAGCCTAGGTGAGGTATGGGTGCCAGGTTATACTGCTTTTTGAGGACAGACCCTGATACCTAAGCCGCTTGTTCCTTGCTGGCTGTACTGCGCTCTGCAGGGTATGGTCCTCACCTCCTCTGGGCCAGGGTGGCTGTCCATCCTGTAATCCACACCATCTGGGATCTGTGGCTTGTGCCCAGAGTCCTTCTGGCTGGAAGCTTCTGACATGCAGTAAACCGTGTTTCCTGCAACTTGCAGTCTCTGCTTTCAAAACTCAGAATCTTTTTCTCATCCTCTTTGCTATGTACTGTACACCCACCCTGAGACAAGATGCCCCAGACTGAAGGGGGACTTGGTGAGAGATGGAAGGAAATGAGAACAAGAACAGCAACACCACCATGATTATGGCAGCAAAAACACTTATTGTGCCAAAAATACTTCTCAAAAACATGCCCTTATGTTTTTCTAAGAGTGATTTTGACTTCTAAAAATGTATAGGAAACCAGGTCAATATTTTGTTTTGGGTTACTGTAGTCTTTCAAAGACTCTTTTCTTTTCTCTTTTGCCAAGTACACGCACACACACACACACACACGCACGCACACACACACACACGCACGCACACACACACACATGCACGCACGCACACACCTAGTCCTGACTCTCTGGCAGGTGGACCATGGTCTAGTGCATGCAAAACAGGATTAAACCCAAGTTAAGCTTTTGCTTCATGTGATAACCAGTCCACTCAGTGGAGATTTGTTTTTCATTTTTGTATTGTACAAAGGAAACATTCCTGAGTGTTGCTTGTGTTTTGACCTCACGAGTGGCTTTCATGTCATGGATTTGGTACACACAAGTCACCTGGGCTCTCCCCACCCCATGCAAACACCTTCCCCCCGTTCCCATAGTCTCTCAAGTGCATATCCCCACTTCAGATTCTGCTTCTGATTGCTGGGCCTACATATGCTTTCTGCTTTGCCCTGGGTCAGCCAGATGAAAAATTACTCCCTTGGTGGATTCCAGGCAGTAACTGCTCCACACCAGGCCCTGCATGAGTTCCTACAGAGGACTCAGCCGGCAGCGCACTCCTTTCCAAGCATGGCTATCATGCTTGATTTGAATGGCTCAGAAAGGCAAGTAGAGTTTGGGTCAATGGCTGGAAATTCAGAGAGGCAAATCGAAGCCCAGTAGCTAGAATGTCATCACATTGCACGATGGACGGGAATGACCGTGAGAGGCCTAGGGGGATAGAGGAATCTCCATGGGCTTTGCAGTTAGGAGCTTCCGTGGACTCGTAGCTCGGCCTTTTAGGGAAGGTCAGGCCACAACAAGGCATCTTGTGCCTCTGAGTCTCAGTTTCCTCATCAGTGCTCAGGGTCGGTAATTTCAGTTGGTGTATTTTAGCATGGCTAAAATGAGGTAATACTCATACAGCTCCTGGCTCTGAGGATGGTCTCAGTTTCCCATCCCTTTCCCCCTTTCCTTCCTTTCCTACTCTAGTGTCTGCTTAACTGGAAACCTTGGAGTGATCCATGCTAGGTCGGGTGGTGACCAGGCAAGGCTATGGCAAAGGGATTCATCTGCATGATGAGCACCTGGGCAAGAATTCAGGGTTGATTTATTATTTGTTGAATTTTTAAAGAAATAAAAGCCTTTCTTCAAAAGAAAGCTTATGAAGAAGCTCACTGTGTAGATCACTAAAAACCAGAGCAGCTCTAGTTGAGGTTGAGAGTGACATCATGTGTGTCTGTCCCTAAGGCAACCCACTCAAAACCCAGGACTCCTGTGTCCACACTGAAAACCACTGGGCTGGATCCTTTTTTTTTTTAACATTCCTAAAATACCTGGGTGTCTTCACAGAAAGTGTAGGGGAGGGAAGACATGACTGTAGGATAAGGACAGCAGGAGGTCTGACCCTGACTGTGGGCTTGTGTTGCAGGTGTCTCCATGTGAGAGGTGCCGCTGCGAAGCCAACGGCGAAGTGCTGTGCACGGTGTCAGCGTGTCCCCAGACAGAGTGCGTGGACCCCGTGTACGAGCCTGATCAGTGCTGCCCCATCTGCAAAAACGGTACGTAAAATGCCCACTGGTGGGGGCCACCTCCACCCCACACACAGCCCACACTCTGCTTCGTGCAGATGGAATTTGTACAGATATGTGAGTTTAAATATGAATCCACACGCACGAACATGCACATATGTGTTATCTTTAGGCCTCCGGGTGCAGTCGGGAGTCGCTCTGTAGCAAGGCTGTCTCTTTTTTATTGGTGTCATCTCCATGTTTCATGGATGTTAGGACATTCTTTGGGGAAAAATCCAGTTTCCAACATTGAGGAGAGTCACTTATTTTAATTTAATTTT